ATTAATCAGTAAGATGTACCATATACTTTATAAATTACTAAATATGTATTTAAGTATGAGATTAATTATTATTGAACAACTTTAAAATATATATTTGATATTATTCAAAATTATTTTTATGACATTTTCAGGATACTGAAGGGATGTCGCTGTTGTAGCAACAATACGTAGATAGTACTAGTACCAACCTTCGCTTCGTTTCATTAATAATTCAAATTAAAATTATGTTTATTCCTTGTAAATTAATAAATAATATATACTACATAAACTACAAACTATACAAAAAATATTTCATTATTACATCAATTATTATTTAACAATTTTAAAATATATTTTTCATATTACTCAATCTTATTATTTGTATTATGACATTTGACAGATAGAGTTTTACATTGTTTCCGGTAGTTCTTTCGAGGCTCCATTAATATCATGACGGGGTTTAGTGAAAAGGTGCGAATAAAATTTAATATTTATCTGAAAGTTACAACATTATAATGTTTGTATCAACATAGTGATGCTTACGTTCAATCATATCTTTCAATTTGTTTCATATTGTCTCATTTAATAAAATTATGAAAAGTACACGTGTTGACGATGTCTACTTTTTATTTTAGGCAATATTAATAGACGGAAAAGGTCACCTTTTAGGGCGCCTTGCAGCTGTAGTTGCAAAAGCACTTTTAAATGGAAATAAAATAGTTGTTGTTAGATGTGAGCAACTAAATATTTCAGGGAATTTTTTTAGGTTAGTTTCTAAATATGCATATGTGCTTTCGTTAATAATACGTGTCTTTCAGAAACAAACTGAAGTTTATGTCCTTTTTGAGAAAAAGATGCAACGTTAATCCTGCTCGAGGACCTTTCCATTTTAGAGCCCCCTCGAGAATTTTCTGGAAAACTGTACGAGGTACGGATTCACTAACTTCTAAACTTCCTATTAATTTTTTTATATGATTATAAATCTTCTTACCTACATTATTTGAAAAATAATGAAAAAAACGAATTATGATATTTCAATTACTGCTATGTGTTTTTTGCATTTAGTAAACAATTAGCAATTAATACAGTTTGATTTAAGGCATGTTACCTCACAAAACTGAACGTGGAAAACAAGCCTTAAGGAGATTGAAGGCATATGAGGGAATTCCACCTCCATATGATAGAAGAAAGCGGTTGGTAGTACCTGGTGCACTTCGAATTTTATGTTTGAAACCTGGACGCAAGGTGAATTTGTATTTATTGAGGTCTATAATTTACAGTTTAAAAAATATAATTAAATTTGTAGTATTGTCATGTTGGACGTTTGTCTCATGAAGTTGGATGGAAATACCAGTCTGTTGTTCGTGCTTTGGAAACTAAACGCAAAGTTAAAGCTGTATTATCCATCCGTAAACGTGACAAACTTAAGAAACTCACTAAGAAATCAACAGAAAAAGTTGCCAAACAGGTAGCTCCCTATCAAACATTAATAAAATCATATGGTTACAATTAATAATTTGTATTAATAAAAAATAATTTAAAGTTGAGATCTTTATTTTACAAATTATGAGAATCCAAAATTTTCTTTAATTGTGAATATACTGTGTATTTGAAGCAAAGCAATTACATACTAATCCAGTAAATTATAACTTAAAACTGAAGAACCACTTATTGCCATAACAAAAGTGGGTGAAATACGAGGGTGGATTGATAAGTTTCCGGCCTGACCAAGAAAAACAAGGTTTTTAAAAATTTTTTTTTTTTATTTCTCAACATAATCTCCAAGGCTGATACATTTCTCATAGCGGTGTTCCAGTCTATTAATGCCATCTCTATAGACTGATTCGTCAAGCTCCTCAAAATAACCATTTACAGCTTCGATTACTTCTTCATTGTCCGCAAATCTCTTACCGCCAAGCCATTTTTTGAGATTAGGGAACAGAAAATAGTCACTCGGGGCTAGGTCTGGAGAGTAAGGAGGGTGCGGCATCAATTCAAACTTTAGATCGTTGATTTTAGCCGTCGCAACGATTGACGTGTGCGCTGGTGCGTTATCGTGATGAAACAAGATTTTTTTCTTCGCCAGATGAGGTCGTTTAATTTTCACCTCGTGGCTCAAACGTTGCAATAAGTCTGCGTAGTATTGACCAGTGATAGTATTACCCTTTGCAAGGTAATCAATGTATATAATACCTCTTGCATCCCAAAAAACAGTAGCCATAACCTTGTTCGCCGAAAAAATTGTTTTTGCCTTCTTTGGAGTTGGTTCCCCTGGTCCAATCCACTGTTTAGACTGTTCTTTGGTTTCAGGAGTGTAGTGGTGGACCCACGTTTCGTCAACGGTTACGAATCGACGCAAAAATTCGCTTGGATTACGCTTATACAATGACAAATTTGCGGTATAAATGTTTTTTCGAATCAATTTTTGGTCGACTGTTAGCAAACGCGGCACCCATCTTGCACAGAGCTTTTCCATATGCAAATGGTGCAAAATATGTTGCACACGTTCATATGACATCTTACAGGTCTCAGCTATCTCACGCACTTTCAATCTGCGGTCTCCCAGCACTATTTGATGAATTTTTTCGATCATATCTGGAGTTGTGACCTCAACGGGGCGTCCTGAGCGAGGCCCATCAGAGGTGCTCACACGACCCTTTTTAAACTCGGAAACCCACTGCTTAACGGTTGAATATGACGGGGAGGATGTCCCCAGTGTTGAGTCCATCTCTTTTTTAATTTCCTTCGGCGTTAACCCCTTCAAATAAAAGTATTTGATGACAGCACGATTTTCCTGCTTTTCCATTTTTACGAAAACCACAGAGGCGTCTTGTTCAGCGTGCTGTCAAACCTACACTAGCAAGGAGATCGGGCTGAAACTATAGCTACAAGCTATCCAAGGATGGTACTATAGAATGTCACCTCAAGGTAGGCCTAGTGGCGTTATCTCTTGGTTAGGCCGGAAACTTATCAATCCACCCTCGTAAGTACCAGTTTGCAGAGAAAAATGTATGTAGGATTATCTTTTTTGAAATATGTTCTAGGAAGTTGAATATATACACATAAAGCTCGCATCTTGTTATGTACGCTTTTTATCATTTTTATTCACTCAATTCTCTCCCATTTTCATTATGTCCCTCTCATTTGTTCCCCCACCCATTCGTCCAATTCCTAAAAAGAGTTTGAAGAGAGCCTTCCGCTAGAGTCAACTAAAGTATAGATTAGGATTATGGAAATGAAACGTACAAAAACTTTTTATTATAGAATTATTTATTAACAACGTAAGTAATTAACAGTTTGGATCAGTGATAAGCTGATAATTGTTAACGAATGCACCCGAACTAGAAAGAAGTAGACTATACTGATGTCAAGATGTCATTGATGCTGTACTGCGCGTCATTATGATCATAGATAATATTATGATCCAATGAGAATGAGAAAAGAAAAAGTACTGTTTATAAAAAGTACGCTATACGCTGAAAACAAAACTCCATTGTTTTCATATTGAATGAAAATATATGTTTAAAGTCTATTGTTTTTTATTAAACTAATTTTTATTTCTTGTAGTAATTATGAACGACATAGCAATGTATCCTTTAAAGTTACTAATGTCTAGAGCATTGTTGGTGTTTGTTTAACTTAACCCTTTAATTAGAGAAATTAAAGTGCCATTTCCAACTAAACGCGTAGCTCAAATCGTTTACGATGTATTAAGAGTAGATAAGGAACCAAGACGTAGTCAAGTAAATAAAGAATTATCAGTTAAGGACCGTATTTTGATTGGGTAATAAATTTCTTAATCTATTAATAATACTTGAAAAAAAATTATTGAAAATTTCAGGAATTTCTCTGGTAGGCTTGCTAAGCAATTAAGGGTAGCAGTTAACAATTTCTTTGATAATATCAATTTGATCTTATCCACAATTGATCAGTTTGGACCTCCTGTTAGTGACTATTATCATCACTATTAATTTAGAAATGCCAGAACATACTCCTGCACCAACTCCTAATAGAGCTGTATATGGATTTGCTATGTATTTAAGTTTCAAATTATTATTCATATTATACTTGCTGTGGGCTGTTTTGCCAGAGTCTTTATTTCATTATATTGGCATAACATGTCTTCCTCAAAGATACTGGGCTATAGCAGTGCCAATATTTTTTTTAACAGTGGTAGCAGCATTTGGTTTTGTGATTTACCCTTGTCTTAATTTATGCATGACACCAAATATTGATGATGTTGTAACTGTTCATGAAAAGAAGTTTAAAGAATGTACCAAAAATGCAAGCTTTGAAGAATTTTTAATTAATAATGATAAAGATGCATGTCATATTTGCTGTAAAGACCCAAAAGGATGCAAACGTGCAAAATTTTTTGAAATGCAGGAGGTTAATAATTCAATTAGTATTTCTCCTGTAAAATATTTAACAATAGGGACATATAAAATGTAAATTATGATAAGTCGTACATATAAATATAGTTAGTAAATACATTTTGTTAATTTACACTCCTGAGTTACCATTTAAAAACAAAAGTTTTTATTTTTTATTTATTACACTTTTCTCTTTTAAGTTACACTTGATACATTTAAATAACTACTACAAACCATTTCACAATACATTAACACTTTCACATCTTAAGGATCTCAAACATAGTAATGTGGTTTCTTAATAGTTATACCATATTCAGCCAATGCTGGTATCAAATCCTCCATTGTTAGACAATAGCGTCTGTCCTTGCAATTTTTGGAGCCCTAAAGGAAAATTCCAGTAATACAAGTATTAATAATATTTAAGTTATTTACCTTTGAGCTATGACTGCTTGAAATGTTACGCATTTTACAATGTTGGAGAGCATCATTAGCAATATCAGAAATGAATTTTTGAGCTGCTATAGAAATTAAACGTAAAAGACGTGGGTCACTTGGTTCAAAACCAGAAGTTCTTAAATAATGAGCTGTGACAGCATCAGGAATCTAAAAAACGTACATTTTTGTGAAGAAACTGTAATAATGAATTGAATGAAAATTACTGTAGGAGTGTAGTCTTCCAGTTGTAATAAAAAATCACTTAAGGGTTGTCCAAGACTTTGGGATTCTCCTTCAGGTTCATCTGTTTTTGTAATTTCTCCATCTGTATCCTGATTCATAGCTGTCTTTTTACACTAATGTATTAATTTTTTTTGCAATTATAAAAAAGGAAGTATTTCCTTAATTTTGATATTTAAACACGTTGACCATCTATCAACAAAAAGCAAAACACCATCAGAAGTGGTCATAAGCAGCGTTGCCAGAGGTATTTATTCAATTGTATGAGAATGTTGTAAAAAAAGGTGCTACATTTAAAAACCTTGTATGGAATAATAAAAACTGAGGGAGTTCCCCGAGGTAAGCAACTCTGTCCCTGCTAAAGCTCGTCGTACCTCGTACCTTGTTTATGCTCCATACTATGCTCGTCAACGAATGCTGCATAAGCATAACCTATACCAAAGCTCCAGCGAATATAGTCAACCAGATAACATAGCGGAACCAGATTAATATTGGAACCGGTTGAAGATATCATTCGATTCATGTTTTTTATTCGTTTCAGAGTAAATATTATTGTTTACTTTTCTTGTGATCATTTTAAGATGTAATTAGCACAAAAATTTATCAAAAGTGATGTAACTGTAAAGGCTAAAATGTACTAGATTGGTACAATTGTGCCAACTCTGGCAACACCGATCATAAACAGGTCGTATAGACCATAGATTAGTACAGATCATGTACAGATGTACAAATTACAGATTCCTATAAAACTAAAACACTTTTTAGCTGAGAACCCTAGACTAGGTAAATAGATGTAAAACTCTCGAGATTTGGATGATAGTAGTGACATCTAAGTTTACCCCACATTAGTAGACGATACTTGGAATATATATATAAATGGTATTGGCAAAGAAAACTTCGAATTTCACTGCCATCTATACATCACACTATGAAGCGTAACCAAAGGCGCGCATTTCAAAATTACACCAAATTTTATTTTTTTTTGTTTTAAATGGAAATTGAAAAAAAAAACCAAAAATAAAATTAACAAATTTAATAACAAAGTATAAATGCAGTAATAAATATAATTAATACAATATACGAGTAAATAGCAAACATCAATTAATTAAAATATAGATACTAATACAGGTATATTTGTATGAACAAAGAAATTGTTCTTTACCTAATTTAGTACTGCTTCCTGCTTCTACAGGGGGTGCTAACGATTCAGAAACTGCAGAAATACTAGCTTCTGTATTGTCCATTGTGAGTGTACTTTCTATAACAAATAATTATATATGTTTTGGATATTTGAAACTGTTATCTGCATAACTACCTGCAGTTGAAACAATTCTTCTTTTCCCGTCATATGTTTTCACTGGATGCAGTACTTTTTCATCTTTTAATGGGGCAATTCCGTCTGCTTCTATTCCTCTACCAGAAGAAGTTCTACAAAACATTTTTTTTTAGAACTTAAGTTTCACAACAACAAATTACAATACCTGCCACTTTCGTTGAAACCGCTGTTACTTCAGGAAAATGGAAAGCGGCTTCTTGACCTTTAACTCCTGCAGGAGCTGTATAATCTATTTCAAATTAATTTGACCCCGTAATAGTGTAGACTGTACATCACGGTTTTTCTGTGTTGGGCAGAAAACATCCTTTCTTTACTTATTGTAAAGCATGATTGAAGTACTTAATATATTACTTACTTTCAGGATAGGTAAAAGTACTTTTCACAAAAATTTTAAAATATTACAAGTTGTGAAACTACTCACTATTGCTCAATAACGCCACAACTACTGGGGAATTCCTCCGATAATCGCAACCGCCGTCGCATCATCTGTTGTCGTTTCAGTAAAATGTATGTCGCCTAGTATGTCGGTAATGTCGATTTTGGTAATTTAAAAAATTTAAAAACTTACGTGGGGTAAACTTAGGTGTCGCTCGCGCTCGACATTTCATACCCTGCTGAGAACATATACAGCTGGAGAAAGTTAAAACATGGTTAAAACACTGCAATTGTAGATTATTATGAAATTAACATAACTCCCATTCCTGCAATCAAAAGGAAACAACCACTCTCACTTCACTCGTATTATCTTTTATTGCTGTAACCTTTTCTCCCATAATCTTAATTTATCGCATAAAATCATTTTTTGATTAAAGTATGGTTAGGTTAGGTAAAACACGACATGAACGAAATGGGTAATTATGTCCCATTATTTTTACAGAAATGTAAAAGGAAAAAAAACACTTTTTTGTTTACTAAATTGCTATTTAAGTCATTATACACATGATGCTTTGTTTAAAAATGTTAAATGTGCTTAATAAGTGTATTGGCTAATACACAAATTTTTGAATATAATAACAGGACCTGCTATTGATTCAGTATGATTTATGAATACGGACCCTTTTAAGACTGTAAGACAACTTTCTGTGTATATAAGAACCAAAGTGATCCACAGAATGAATTGGCTGGAATTGGCCTAAATCTACCTAAATTTCAAAGGCAATCAATGAAGGAATGAGAAACGAGAAAACAAGAGAATAAATTAATTAAATTCAATTTAATTATTTACAGTCGCAGTGTGTTTGAGTGTTGTTATAGTTGCGTCCTTCTTAGTTGCTGTTTGTGTAAATAATGTTGTCAGTTGTGTTTTGTCAGTTTTGAAACGTGAAAAAAAGTTAAAAATGGCAGCTGAAATAAAACCAGCAACACAATCAAATGACCGATTTTCGACAACGAATAAACCATCACTAGTAGCAAAATTAGAAGGTTGCAATGATGAAATTAATGCGGCGGTTTTCATACCGAAAGAAGAAGGAGTTATCACTGTATCTGATGATAAGTAAGTGTAAACACTACATCACTTATAGTTTAATTGAAACATGTTTTAAATTATTCATTACAGAGCTGTTAGAGTATGGTTAAAAAGAGATTCTGGTCTGTATTGGCCAAGTATTTGCCACCACATGCCAAGTGGGGCAACATCTGTTTATTACACTAAAGAAACAAGACAGTTGTTTATAGGTCAGGATAATGGAACTGTTTCAGAATATATACTTGCACCAGATTTTAATCGCATGAATCTAACTAGAGAATACTTGGCACATCAGGCCAGGGTCACTGATCTTCTTTATGCTTTAGATAATGAGTGGATTTTAAGTGCAAGTAGAGACAAATCTTTCTCTTTTAACTGCACTCAAACTGGGAAGAACATTGGAACTTACACAGTAGAAGCATGGTGTACTTCATTGCAGTATCCTTTTGTAGTATGATTAATTTCATTAAGTTGATATATATTTTAATTAAAAAAGGTTATATTAAATTATTAGTTCTATATTTAAACACTTTAAAGCAAACATCTATAAAAAATGACTAATTTAATTAGTGCCTTAACATCTACACAAATGGCATTGATA